AATTCAATTTCAAAAAATTTTAGGGTCTTTCCATTGCCTTCGTCTTTCCTGGTGGTAGATATCGTATAATTACACAGAGTTGATCAATTGGGACAAGTCTACAGAGAGTCCAAAACGTTGAGTCTACAGAGAGGCCAAAATATTTAGATTGCTTGATCATCAATTATTGACCATAAAAACTGACTATGAACAAGCAGATCCTTGATTTTCATATTTTTGAATGTATTCTGAGAAAAAGAGATCAAGTTTAGCAATTAGCTCCAGTAGTCTCATGAAGTTCCTTTTGTTTTGATATCCAAAATTCTCATTAGAACCTCTAAAGGCTAAATTTCTTTCAGCTAATGTAAAAATTACCGCAACAACTTTTTCCAAAACTTTCCGCCAGTAAGCTTGTTCTATCGAAAATTCATTTTCCAAATTTTAACGTATTTTTAGTGTTTCTAATTAAGTAGGATAAAAAATTTCTGTGATCAACAAAACTTTCAAGACCTTTAATCAATGTCGAAGCATTTTTCCAGTCCTTCAATCCAGTTGTTGCGAGAGAAACGAGAGACGACTTAAATAGTTTGGATTCAAAACAGAACAGACTACTAGTGAGCAGAGAATACACTTACCATTCTCTACAGTAGGTCTCTTCATCCCCCCCCCCCAAAAAAAAAAAAGTTTTTGGTACAATAACAATCAATTTTTATACGATTTCTTAAAGCCCAAAAAGTTGTCATTGAAACGTTGATATTCTGCTTGTCCTGTGGCTATTAGTTCGGTCATAGTTTCATTTGTTAATTCTTTCCATGTCCCAACATCATCAACCTCAGTTTTTTCATTCAGTTCCTCACTCTCAATCTCAGACTCTTTTTCAGTTTCTAATTCAAACACCTCTGGGCAATCTGCACAACAATCATTTCCTATTAATTGTTCTTCATCTTTTTTCCCGCGAGAAACATTTTTCTGCGCCACAATTTCTGGACTAGAAATTTTGGTAGAAGTTAAGAAGTTTTTTACCTTTTCAAACATTGTCTCCATCATGAGAATTTTTAGCTAATTCATTTTTGAAAAACTTTCTTTTGCGTTTGGTAGCTCCACTTTCATAACTTTATTTCATTTTGATTTTTTGTGCAAAAAAATGTAAAATAATAAAACTAAGTAAAAAATCATTTTTTTACAGGAAAAATATTTTTCCTGTAAAAAAATCATTTTTTTACTTAGTTTTATTATTTTACAACCTAAATTAATTACACTGTTATTTAAAATAAATTTGTTTTTGCAAAGATACCTAAATTGGAACACTTTAATTCCTTAATCAGAACAGGTTTTTTAAAAAAAAAAACAAAAAAAAAACAAAACCAGTAAAATCAACCAAAATTGATTAAAAATGATTTTTATCTTTACAGTGAAAGATTTACTATTATAATTGGTTTTGAAACAAAATTGATTGGTTATTATAATAACCAAAAAATTTTGTTGAAAGTTTAGAAAAATTGCATCAGTTATTCCAATTCGTTCAAAATTTACAAAATTCTGATATGCTACCTGATATATGTAATTTTTTTCGTTTGACTTTGCTAGTAAATTAAAATTTTGAACTAAAGTTGAATTTTTTAGTCTCAAATGCAATTATAGGTACGCTTAAATCCGACCTTAACAAAGCCGTTTTCTTCGTTCAAATTTTTTGACCCGCTTGTTTCAGTATTTTTAAGAGTGGCATGATATGAACATGTTTTGCTGTGTTAATTACTTTAATTCTGCACGGAATATGATCGAAAAATTTCGTTTATAATGAACCTTTTATTGTTTAAAACTTCCTTGTTGTTTGTGCATCATGCATGTATCAAAGGAATGCCGAGATTCTTTTAATAATAAATTTATTAAAACATCAGCAAAAACCATTTTTCTTGCTACCTGCCAAATTTTATGAAAAAAAACGCGCCCTAGAAACCCTACTAACTCACCCAAAATAGGTACCTATTTTTTATTTGAGTTCCGCTATACACACATAGGTAGTTAGGGGAGGGGGTATCATAACAAACATTTGAACATTAATAATGTTAAATAAATACTATAATATAAAATAATATTAAAAAGTATATATAAAATATATAAAATAAAAAAATTCAAAATTTCAATAAAAAATAAAAATTTTATTTGAAAAAACCTAGATTTTGAATAAGTTAAAGGGTATTATAGACGCCCTTTTACATATTCATTTGCGGTTTCTTCAACAAATGCATATATCAAAAATTTGGTAAAATTTCTTCAACAAATGCATATATCAAAAATTTGGTACTTAAAATGCTATAACGTTTTGTAGAATTGTTCGATTTTGATACATTTTTTTACCTTTAAAATACTGTTTACAAGATCTTTCCAAAGATATATAACAATCTAGTGTTTGATTAATTTTATTATTTCATGTCACATTCTTAGCAATTAAGGCTAGATATTTGAAGATATAAAAGGCTAGATATAAGAAGATAGTAAAGATTATGTTGCTTTAAGGTAAAACCTTATTACTAAAGTTAATTATGTTATATATTTCCAGCTAGAAAATTATGTAAAATGATCTTGTTTTATATACTTTTTTATTTATTTATTTTTACTTATCCTTTACACTTAAAGTCTCTAACTAACCAAATAAACGCCTGTTTTATAAGTTTGTACACGATTATTTATACCATATAATATTTCCCCAAGAGAGATATTATAGGTATTTTCTAACTTATAATGATTTATATACAAAATTCGCTAATTGCCTCATTAGCGAAGGAAATCTCTAATGACAATATATGACGCTTAGAGACGTTTATAATACAACTATATTATTTACATTAAACTATTATTTACACTAATCGCCTCGTGAACATACTCCTCCCTTTTGACCAAATGGTCAACATCTTCTGGTTCATTCAGCTCGAGAGGGCACAGCTTGGTTATCGGATGTTTCAAGATAACCTTCCCAACTTGAACATTAGCGACACGCACTAACCCGTCGTTTCCAGGGAAAACCTCAGTTACCCGACCAAGTGGCCAATTGTCTTTTGAAGTATTTTCGGAGAGCACCAATACCAGGTCACCTACCAATAAGTTTCCCATTACGATATTCCATTTTTTTCGTGGTCCAAGCATGGGTAACCATTCTTTCATCCAGCGATGCCAAAAATGTTTTATTAATTCTTGGACTCGTCGCCATCTTCTTTTCGGGTTGAATGAAGTAGCATCCACTGCATCAGCGGCGAACTTACCACCTATTTGTCCAAATAAAAAATCATTTGGTGTAAGTGGTGTGCAGTCTTTAGGATCACTCGATTGATAAGTCAATGGTCCGGAATTTGTAAGTTTTTCTGCCCCAGCAAACGCTGTAATAAGTTCTTTGTCAGTAATATCCGCATTTCCCAGTTGGGAATAAATTGCTCGTTTTGCGGCTTTTATCATGATCTCATGAACTCCTCCGAAATGAGGGGCTGCAGGTGGAATAAAATGCCATTTTATACCAACGTGGCTTGTTGCCTCGTTTATTCTTTTCTTTTCGCTATCAGTGAAACTTCGCAGCTCTTTGTTTGCTAACACAAAGTTGCCTCCATTGTCAGATATCATTTCTTTTAGCGTTCCTCTTCGACTGCTCATCCTAAAAAATGCATTTAGAAATGATTCGGCGTCCAACGCAAACGCTACTTCCAGGGGAACTGCTCGTGAAGACAAACAAGTAAACAAGGCTAAATAACGTTTTGCCCGTTTTTTCCTCCTTCCTTGAATGGTTATGAACGGACCACCATAATCAACAGCACACTTTTCAAAGGCGTTCATACTAAACTGCAAACGTTTCGTTGGTAATGGTGCCATAATCTGCGTTGCTAACTTTGCTTTCCTTCGCTTGCATTCTGCACACTCTGCTTCCCATTTTTTTATCTTTTCTCTTCCAGATACTACCCAATACTTTGTAGACAACTCCGCCAAGATATGATTTACACCATACATATGCTGTCCTGCTTCGTGACAATCTTTTACGATCAACTTGGTTATGTGGTTATATCTTGGCAAAATAATTGGGTATCTTGTATTGAATGAGAGAAACTCAGCATTTTTTAATCGACTGTCGCATCTTAACATTTTATTTTCATCTAATCGTGGCAATAATTTTAATAAGTAACTAGTTTTTGAAATTCCTTTATTATTTATTAATTGATTGTACTCTTCCGCGAATGTTTTCTTTTGAGCATTTATAATTAATTCTGTTTCTGCATCGTTATTTTTTTCCGTTAAGAGTGTTCCTGATGATAAACATTTTTAAAAACAGTTATGTTGGAACCTTCGTACCCAGGCTAAAACTCGTGTTAACCTTCTCCAACTAGAGTAGCGGGTTGGTTCCAATCGCCAGTCATCGCCATTTTCTTCGGATTTAATAGCCATCAAAGTATAAGTGTTCTTTACTTCAAAAATTAATTTGTCTTCGATTTATTTAAATTCCTTGGTTGGCCATTGGGATTCCTCTTGTTTGATGAAATCAGGCCCAGTTTACAAGTAACTTTTTTGTAAATCGTTTATATTTACTCATCTAGATGACAAATCCGCAGGGTTTTTCCCTGTCGGTACGTAACGCCATTGTTTCGGATTTGAATGAGATTGGATTTCTCCAACTCTGTTTACAACGAAAGTATTAAATCTTCTACTTGGATTTTTAATCCAGGATAACGTATTCAAGCTATCCGACCAGAATATAACATTCTCCATTTTTATTGTGCAAGGCAAAGCTTTTACGACGGAGAGCGCAAGCTTCAATCCTAATACTCACTCATTAACTCCAATCTGGGAATGCTAACTGAATTTAATGGAGCGATACGAGTTTTTGACGAAACAAAAGAACTTGACGTTCCACCAAATTCATAACCATGAACTAAATAACATACTGTTCCAAAAGCAGTTTGTGAAGCGTCGACAAATACGTGAAGAATTGAATAAATGATTTTATCATTGTTTTTGATACGTAAACAGCGAGGTATTTTACATTAGTGACTACTTGTCAGTTCGTTAAACCAGATATCCGATTTTTGTTTTATTTTGTCTGGTAGCGTTTCACCCCAATCTTCTCCTGACGTCCATAGTTCTTGAAATAAAATTTTTGCTCGAATAACGAAAGGAGACAAGAATCCAAGTGGATCGAAGAGTTTTAAAATGTATTTTAAGAGCAGCAGTTTACTCGTAACTGGTTCTGATGGTAGAGTGTAACTAAATGTAAACATATCTTCGACTGCTTCCCAAGATACGCCCAGTGTTTTCACTGTAGGTAAGTTCTCCATGTTTATGTTTATTTTTGCTGCTCTAGCTTCAATAGGAATGCATTCCATCACTATCTTTGAATTAGAAATCCATTTTCTTGCGGTCATTCCCGCCTTTTTCCACAGTTGTGTAAGTTGATTATATAGTTCAATTGCTTTTTCTTCGGTTTCAACTGAATCCATACTGTCATCCATGTATGTAAACTTATCAACAGTCTCCGCAGCCGAAAGGAAACTTTTTTTTATATTTCTCTGCATGTTTTTGTATAACAAACTGTGTTTGAAAAGGGCAGGAGTTGACACCAAATACAACTTTTGTAAATTCAAATAACCCAGGGTTTTTATTTTCTTCTAGATCCCGCCAAAGAAATCTGTGATATCTTCGATCTTTCAAATTCAGCTCAATTTGCAAGTACATTTCTGTTATATCACCCAGCAAAGCGACTGCGTTTCTTCGGAACCGCAACAGAACAACACAGAGATCTCGTTGCAGTTTGCGTCGAAAACGATTCTGACTTTTGTAGTTTCCTTTTCCAACTTTACAACGCTGAAGTGTGGGAGGATCCATTGATTTTTGTAATCATTGTTGCTTACTTTTTTGATATAACCTTTTGTTAAGTAGTTTTGTATTGTTTCTTTGTAAATTTCAATCACCTCCGGTGTTCTTTTAAGCCATTTTTCCGTACTTATTAACGATTTACTGCCATTTCATAGTTGTTTGGCAACAACTTTGGATCTTCTTTCCAAGGAATGCCAATTTGATATCGCCCATCCACATAATTTGTCCAATTTTCCGCTTGATCTAAGGCCTTTTTATCTTCAACACTTCCAGCTTGCGTTTCTGATGTTGGATAAACATTTTCGATTTCCCAAAATGTTTTTAGTGTTTCATTAATTTTTTCAAATTCGGAAATATTTTTAGTTAACGTCCTGGTGTGGCAAGTATAATGATTTTGAGTACGTCCAAGCGCCCCAACACATGTCCATCCCAGTGGCGTAAGTCGTGCTATTGGATCTCCAGTGCGTCCTTTAACTTTTGTTTTTGATGAGTGAAGCTCAGCGCTATCCAATCCAATAAGAATATCTACAATCGGTCGCTGTCCCAATCTGCAAAATGGTATAGTTTTTAGGTGACTCCAATGGTTTTATATTTATTCCAATCCACCACTTGGATGTTACTCGTAACTCTAACAACTGTTAATGCATTCATCTTCTTTTTCAATTTACCATCAATGCTTTGCAACTGAAATTCAACCGGCATTGTTTGAAATGTGTCTACTCTACCATTGAGTACATTAATCTTAATTTCTTTCATTACTCCTTGTAATCCAATTCTGCAGCTACATCACTGTTTATATAGATTTGGGTACTAGCATCATCCAATAGAGCGTTAACTTTTATCGACAGCTTTTCATTTGTTAAAATGACAGGTAAAGTTCTCATAGCCACTTCTTGACTTTGATTTTTACTTGAAAACTTGGTAAGAAGAGTTGTTTCTTCTCTTTTTTCTCTTGTTTGTTTCTTTAAATGCAATAGTCTGTTATGAACTTCCTGACAACCATCGGTTCCACATTTTCTTGACTTCTCGCATTTGTTTCCAACATGATCATTACCCAAACAACGATAACAAAGATGATGAAACTTTGCTTGTTCCCATCTTTTACTTACTACCATGAATTTGAACTTTTTTGAAATTTTGCACGATTTTATTACATCGTTTACAAATTTGAAATTTTGCACGATTTTATTACATCGTCTTTGAGCTTTTCTCCAAAGTAAGTTCTTTGTTTTTCTTTAAAGTTTTTAAAGGGTTTTTCTTGATTATACTTTGTATCTTCCAAACCACATATGGTTTCCTGGGCAACTGTATAAAACTCAGCTTCTTGAATAACCCATTCTCGCAGCGATTCCACCCCAAGACTTTGCTTTTCAAATAACCATCGTTAAAATACACTTAGCATTGTTTTTGGTAATTTCTTCATAAGTTTAATGTAGAGTGAGCCATCTGCTAACTCTACGAATTTTCCCAATTCTTTTAAATTTATGACTGCAATGTCCAACATATCAGCAAAGTTTTTAAGATCATTTGGGTTGTCTGGACTAAAGTTTTCCACTCTCTCCAAATAAAGGCAATTTGTCGTCGTTTGCCCCATACTTCCTTTCGAGTCAATCTTTTGCAGCTTCGTACGCAGCTTTGTAATACCCCAAACTTTCAACAACTTTTGAAGCTTCTCCTGATAAGTACTGGCGTAGTTGCAACAGCTTATATTCCGGTGTAGCTGGAGCCCTATCAATGCATGCTTTGAACGCTGCCTTCCAATTTTCGTATTGCGTTTTATCTCCAGAAAAAACAGGAATCGACACTCTAGATAAGTGCCTCCAATTAATAATAAGTGTCTTGTCCAATTTTACTTTTTGTACCTAAGTCGTTATTTTTCCGTTGAAAGTCAATATTTTTTTTTTAAATGGCTCACCTCGCCAACCAGTTACAACAGGGCGTGTTTGATGGTCCTTTTTTACGTCAACAGTTTCAGCATGTCGTTTAACTTGAGCGTCCAATTGATCATTTTTCAACTCATCCCATTTCATTTGCCGATTTTGCTTCCAATGTTACATATCCATCATCCATCACTCCATTATCCATTAATCCACATCCATGTTTTGTACAATAATTTTTTACAATTTTTATACAATAATTTTTTTTTTTTTTTTAATAGTTTGTTAATACATATATAAATAAGATTTGCAAGATAAGGTATTGTTGTAAAAGTTTTAGTTTGTCAAATATAAAGATTGTGTTTTTGTAAGGAAAATAATAATTAAAAACTTTTTTCTGATAACTGAAAAAAATTAGTTCCAATAAGTAAAACAATAATATTTCTAGGCAGAAATGATCTTACATTTCGTAGACATTGTGATGTTACCAAATATCATCATGATATTGGGGAATCTTCTACAAAAAAAATGAGAAGAGCTTTTAAAATTTCATGTAAATACTAGCTAATCACCCTTTTTAAAGTCCAAAAAATGCAACCTTTATATCAACTACTATATCAAAACCAACTTATTGATTGTTGTGAAATTTTTTACTTTATCTAGTGGGATTTATTGTGAAATTGAGTTAGTTTTAATAAAAAATGTTAAACATTCAATTTTTTATTTAATTCTTTGTGATAAAGCAGTTGACTGTTCAAATACTGAAAAAATGCCACTTGTTATAAGATATCTAAATTCAAATAATGAGATATGTGAGGATTTCTTAAGATTTATAGATTGCAAGACTGGTACATTTTTTTTTTTTAATTTTGTTTTAGGTGCTCCAAGAAGTCGTTACAATGTTATCACAAGGCACCGCGGATGAGTATTTAATAGGAAGTTTACGCCTCCTTCCCAAACCGATGTCGCTAAACCATGGATCCTTTGTTTCTGAGGCAAGTGCGCTACCACTGCGCCAACGTTACTCATATGGTCTTAGTCTATCTCTAAATTTACTTAATACACTTCAAGAGACTTTTTGAACTTAATATTCAAAATTGTAGAAGACAAGGGTATGATGGTGCAGCATTTATGGAAGTTGAATATAAAGGAGTTGCTTCTTGAATAAAAGTTCTTAATTATAATGCTTTTTTTGTTCATTGTGCAAGAAATAGAGTTAGTTTAGTTGTAGCAACTGTCTACCAAGTTCAAAAAGTGAAAAATCTTCGCCAAGTAAAAGAAATTTCTTATTTTTCTGACTTATCTTATAATTGAAGTAACTGTTTCAAAAAATATTTATGTCTAGACCAGGAAAAGATAATAGATACTTTTCGAACAGGATGGCTTCAAAAGTTAAGAGATTTTGATGTTTTTTTTTGATAATTTTATAATTGTTATTCACGCTAAAGAGAAATGGGGAAATGAATTAAAGGAATACAACAATAAAACTGCTTCTAAATCCTCTTATTTTTTAAGCTTATTAACAGATATCTCTTTTACATTTAACTTTAGTTATAAAAAAACAGTTAATGAATTTTTTTTATGCAATTTCAGTAACTCTTCAAACTAAATCTTTTGTAATAACCGCACAGTATTTTGAAATAACTAATCTAAAAAATCTGTCATTAGAAATAAAAAAAATTAATATACATCACACTGAAAGGTATTTAAACTATTACTTTTAGCTTGCCTTTTGGTTTTAGTCTTAATATCCAAGAAGTGAGACCTAGATTGTATAATTTCCAGGTTTACCGGGATAATTATTCAATAAACACAGTTTGTGACTATTTTAAACATATCATTACTTCTCAATTAATTGAACATCTTATTAATGAGCTAAATAATAGGTTTCTTTAGGTTCTTGTTGGTGCACTTTGTTAAGTAAATTAGGCCTAAAATTACTTGTTTAATTTATGAACGCAATAGCCAAGGCAAGGCCCCACCCTTGCTATGTCTTTTTCTGTCCGATACAGAACAACATAACGACTACAAATCTTTATAGATTTTAATAGACTGTCCCAAAAAAAATTTAAATTTAAATCGTTTTACCTTAAAACTTTTAAATGTGGAGAACAAAATAATTGTAATGATACTTTGTTGATGACAATTGTAATGCATGTTGACACAAATCGATATTACCTTTATAAAGATGATTTGTGTTTACCTTGTTTTTTTAACTGTTATATTATCATTTGTTATTACCTTGCTTAGGATTAAAAAGATTTCTCTGTATTGTATTCACTTTCCCAAGGCCAAGAAGTTCGCTCAAGTCATAGATGTTATTCTTTTGTATTGCGGCACTCTTTTATCCTGGAAACACAAAAGCTTTCGCGGCAAGCGCTCTTATCTATAGTTCTTTTTTTGTCATTCTCTTTAGCTAAGTATTTAGATTTTAAAAACAGTTATACTATTTCAAATTTATAAATAATTGAAAGTGTTGTTTTGAACCGTGTCGAGTAACACAGAAACTCGTTTAAATAAAATAATCTTTTCTACCAAAGACTCTTTTTAAATTTTTTAATTATGAACTGCATAGACATGACCAAGAATTTTTAAGAACATTGTGTGTACTTTTTGAAGAACATTGTGTGTACTTCTACTAAGTAAGTTAGTAATTTAATCTTAAACCACATCAAAACCCATTATTATCTTTTTTTATATTACTTTTTCATTTAAATATTAAGTACACAGAGTTTATTTGAAACGTTAAAAAAAAATTG